TTCTATTCTATTCTATTCTATTCTATTCTATTCTATTCTATTCTATTCTATTCTATTCTATTCTATTCTAATGAACCAGGAATTGAAATCAGGACCTCACACTTGCCAGGTAGGTGCTATGCTGTTGAGACATCCCCAGCCCCATGAATTCTACTTCTTGTAAACATCTTTATTGCACACTGCCTCTGTGCATGAGGTACAGTAAAACCCCATGGCTGTCTAGCCACCCTGCCTGCCAACTCTTATGCTGTCTGGGGCTCCTCAGTGTCTGAGGATGACTGCTCAAATTTGGAGACCAGCTAATGCGGAAGGTGGTGTCTGATTCATTCTTCTTGAAAACAGTCATACTGTCTCCACAGGTCCTCCTATTCTCTGTGTTTTGTCACATGCTTGTGACCCCATTGTAGGCTGCTAATAATGCCAATCATTACACATACACTTACTGTTTGGACACTGTCTGCTTGTCTTAGTTACTTTTCTCTCATTGCTCGGACAAAATACCTGACACCCAAAATTAAGGAAGGAAAGGTTTATTTCACTTACAGTTTGTGAAGGTTTCAGTCCATACTTGGCAGATTACAAGGCAGAGTGGCACATGGCAGAGGGCTACAGCTTATGGTGGCAGAACACGGCAAAGCAACAAGCACAAAATCCAGGAATGGCGGCAAGCAGCCTCTTCCTCTCCCTTACATATGCAAACTATCCAGCCCAGGGCGGGTGTAGCTCTCACACCCATAATCAATCAAACTCTAAAAGCCTGCCCCATGACCACATGAGTCTTTGGGGGGACACCCAGACACAAGCCATAACACTGCTCAATGCCCTGCTGGGCTCTGGGACTCCTAGCACACTCAGCTGTAGCCTTTGCAAGAGTTAGAGGGAGGTAGAAGAGACAGATACCAGATAAACAATTGTGGAATTAACAATAAAAAATTTTAAAAGGTACTTCAAAGTACAAACATGAGACTTAAAAAGATTTAGAATAAGATATTCATTTTCCTTGTATCTGTGGGGCATTGCATGTGGCTTAATATACTAAGTGCTAAATAATGACAACTGACTGAATAAATTAGTAAATGAATGAAAGAAAGAATATGGTGATTTCTCCAAAATGATAAAGGTTCATGTCTTAGGAAGTTACAGACCTGTGAATTCTTAATAATCTTTAGTTGTTTATTCAAATAAAATTTGAGAAGATTCATTAAGCCCACAGAAGCGAAATCAATTCCATACAAACTATAATTGTTTTATCAACATGTAACATGATTACCTAACTGAGAGAATGAGGCTTGACCAATGCATTTACCCACCAATGAATGTTTACCAAGTAGCTCCTGGTGGCTTTTAGGTTCTGACATTTGATAGTCAAACAGCTTCACCTCATGCCTCTAAATTTATATTACATGCAGGGTCTTGGGGAGGCTCACAACAAACAGATGAGATAATATAAAGAAGTGGGATTCTTGTTTGTGTTTTACAGTAAACAAAGACATGTCACATAACCAGCCGTTAATAGTGTGTGCCCAGAAAGTAAGGCAAGTGTGTCTAGAGGGAAGGCCAGGGTGAGCTTCTTTGAAGAGGTAACATTAGAACTGAGAATTATACCAACAGGACCAGTATGAATTCTGGGTAAAGTTGTTTGGTCATAAGACACCAAACTCCTGGCATATTTTAGGAAAACCAAGAGAGCTGTGTGGTCAGCAGAAGTAAAAGGAAGTTGAAGAGGTACGTAGGGAATAGTCAGTGGGCTTTACTTAAGAAGACTGGGTTTCATTTCAATTGAATCAGGAAAGAAAATGATATAATTTCGATATTTAGAAAGATGACTTTGGTACCTGTGTAGAAACATGAGCTTGCATGATTGGGGTGTGGCAGGGAGCTCACATCAGAGGCTATGGGACATGTCAGACAGCAGATTCTGTTCACAGTGTGATGAAAAGCTCACATATTTCCTATGTGCTCTAGAAAAACGAAATGGGCTCTACTGTTCAGTGTAACTTACTCAGCAGCACCAGATATTCCAAAGAAGAAGAAGCAAGGATAACTCCTAGGAGAGGGATGTTTATGCCATTTACTGACATACGGGGGGATGGGGAGGGGCAGGTTTTGAGGTGAGGATTGATTGTGTTCCACTTTTGCTCTATTAATTTGAGGTATTTGTTATTCTTTCAAATGGTGATATCAAGAAGGCAATTGCATATATGATTCCAGAGGTCTGGCCAGGAATTGACCCATGTGTAGATGTTGTTAAAATTTTGGAGTGCTATAAATTTAGCTAGTCAGAGGGTATAGAAAGAACCTACCAGAAGGCCTGCAACTAAGCCCTAAGAAGAAGTAAGTGTAGTAAATGAGGTAGGAGGATAAACTGGGATTTTTAAAAATGGAAATTGCTCTTTGAACCAAATACTGTGAGAATTCAGGGCAAGAGAAATGAGGTGACCCTGTGAATTTGTCTGCATGGATGCTTCTAGTGTATCTTGACTAAAATAGTTTCTGTAGAACATTCTTCATTAATCAGTGGTCTCCCACAGAATCAGAACCACCATAATGCTTATATATATTGGAAGATTTATTGTAAGCTATGGTTTATGAAATTTAGGTGTTGGTTAAGTGTGAAGTCCACTGGGCAACTACCTGGAAGACAGGTGGGAAACGCAGGCAGGAGCTGAAGCTGTGGCCCACACGTTAGATTTCTTCTTTCTTAGGGAAATTTCAGCACTGCTCTTGAAATCTTTCAACTGATTGAATCAAGGTTACAAGATTATCTAGGATACTCTGAATTAAAGTTAACATTTTTTATGTCAACCACATTACAGCAACATTTAGAACGGTTTTGGATTGAATAACTGGGACTCTAGCCTGGTCAAGTTGACACATTGAACTGACCCTCAGATGTCTAAAAGTTGATTGGTTTGAGATTCGATGCAAAAGGAGGTGAGCAGGTGGAGGCAGCAAGTGAAGAAAGCAACTACGCTGTGAAGATGATGGAAAAAGGAGAGAGGAGGCTGCTAACAGGGCCAGAGGGGTTGGTCATTGCTATTTTGTTCAGTAGCACATACATTAAGGTTTTATGCTCATTCGAAAAATCCAGGTCAGAGGAAGATAAGCTCATGCAGAAAGAAAGAACTGGATATGGAGGCATTTTGAGGCATTGGCTTTAAACAGAGTTTAAGAGATGTGTTCTTTCCTCCCCATCCCAAGGGTAAAAGCACCAAAGGGCAGCAACTAGGCTGAGGACTTTAGGTTTCCATTGTGAGGTGCTCTTCAGGGAAGGTCATTTTCTGTACAGCAGCTCACTGAGCTAGTTAACATCACGTCACTAGCCATGCTTCCTTGAAACAATTCATCCTTATGGAGGATGTTCTGGATATACCACTGACACAGAGAGACCTAGGACTGGCATCCCCCAAAGTCAGGAGTTCTCAGTTTCATCCACAATTGGGCCCCCACAGATCTGAGGATCTTTGAATACCATAGAAAATCTTACATGTTATTGTGGACATTTTTCTGAGGAAAGGATCCCTTGTTACCATTGCCATTAGATCCTCAAAAAGGTCCATCATCAGAGAAAGTCAGACATGCTGCTCAAAGATATCATGTAAGCCTGCAGTCCCTGGTTTACCTGAAACCATGAGTCTTTCTGTAAGAGCAAACAGTGCGGGTGAGCAATGGGTGTGAATACTGAAGAGAGAGCTCCAACAAGGGCAGAGCTAAAATATAAAGTATGAGGACATATTAAAGAACAGGGCAATGATGAGGTCAAAACAGACTACTAGAAAAATAATAGCAGTAATCTTTCTTATCTCTTAGAGCATGACACTTGTACATTTTATTTAGAAACAAACAAAAACAAAAGGAAAAAAGTAAATCCTCAGTGTAGTGACAACTTGTTAGCAAGAGCTAAGTTACGAGGAGAATCCAGATGAGGCACAGAAGGAAAAGGAAGTCCCTCCCTGGCCTGATGGTTTGTTGATGCTGTGTTCTAAATCATATTCTTTCTGAAAGTGCTTGTTCAAGATAAATCCAGTCATTTCACAAGCAAATCTCCTACGTGCAGATTTTTTTGTTAGATGACATACCCTATACACATAGTTTGCCTGGAGAGCTATAACATTTGCTTTGTGAGTCTCCATTCCCAGAAATATCAGTACAGCATGTTTGCAGTGGGACTAGGGAAAGGTGTTTTTACAGAGCACTTCAAATGGTTCTGAAGCAGGCTTTTGGTTATATAATGTGGAAAACAGGTAAGGCACGTCACATATCAGGCATTCCTGCAACCCAAACCAGAAACCTGCTGAACTCATTTAAATGAAAGTACTGGTGATCAAGTGTATTTATTCATTTGAGGTCATTGATTGCTAGTGTCTAACACTAGGGATGTCATTGCTTATAGCAGACAAACAGCCTGTGATGAGGCAATTCTAAGTTTCTGGACGAAGCCTATGGGGGAGAATTATAGGGATGAGAAGCTTCCTTGGATGATTCTGACCTTCTACAGTGATTACCAATTCCACCCATGTCTCCAGCTTTCCGTGTGTGCAAGATGGAGCTGTACTTTCAAATTCAGCATAAACAACTCTCAAAGCAATAGACGCATATCATAATTCTAGAAGAGAAGCATTCTGTGAGTTACACTGCATTGAAATCATCCTCCTTCTGGAACAAGTGAAGGAGAATGTTTTTCCTTTGTGGTTCTAGGGTAAGAAGACTTTCATAATAACTCACCTCATTTCTGGTGAAAAACTGAAAATAGCAAGTTCTTTTATTCCAAGTGACATAAATTTGCCAACCCCAAGAGCTCTTAGTGTTGAACTTTTTGTTGGATCTTTGCTACATTATTGTCTCAAAATTCCTTCAGCCTCTGAAAGAAGTGTAGTTGTCTTATTCTTGGGTGAAGTACACATATTATGGAAGGAGTAGGACTAATTGTATACAACACTTTCCTTTCTTGGGGTGGATAAACTGATGTCCTGTGTCTGGTGGCACACATAGGTACTCACTATAGGAGCATCCATACACCTCCACTCTCATGCCGATCTTGCCACTGGGGTTCCACTCCAGGGGCACAAAGCGAATGAAGCGGGCCCTCACTGAGTGTAGCAGCTTGTGATGCACCACGCTGTCGGCGTTCATGTTTCCTGCGAAGGTCTATGAGGAGAGAGACACCTGTGAGGGCTGTGTTACAAAGGAGCACACCAGAAACCACATGCGATTACACGAGTCTTTCAGGAAAACAACCTTCAATTGAAAGACTATACATTATACTTTAAGCAACCCTTCTCCCCCACCATTAATGACCAGCCAAAATTTATAAATACAGCTGTCCTAGCAAGTCGCATATATAACACCCCCAAAAGTTTTACAGAGTTCATGATAAAATGTAGGTCCAGTACTCCTAACATTCCTAATCACTATGGATGGGGCAATGACTGATGATCTCTTATAAGGAAAGGTTTTTACTGAAGTTATTGCTGTCATTATTTCAGTTCAGTCACTGTACTATGCATTTTCCATTGTAGTTATAGCCATTTTACAGATTCAATAAAACTGGACTCTAGAGAGAAAAAAGGGGAAGTAAAAACATCTCCAAATCACCCACCTGGTTGGTAACTGCCCTGACATACAATTCCAAGGTTGTCTTATTTCAAACCTAATGCAATGTCTGCAGCCCTCAGTCTTCACCACTACTGTTGTTCATTGCTACAGGAGGGAGATATCACAACTCATATTCATATGTAATTCATTTTCAGCAATTGTGATCCAAAGGCTTGTAGGTCATCTTTCTTTTTAAATTGGGGAAAATATACATAACATAAATATTAACCACTTTAAAATAATTAATTCAGCGGCATTAAGCACATTCATGTTGTTGTGCAAACTTTACCCCCTCCTGCTCAAACTTCATCTTTAAAACAGGCTGTCTGCTGGCACACTGGTGTGCTTGCTCCATTTTTTGAGACAGCATCTGTCTTCTTTCCAAGCCCAATGATTTATGGATAAACCTGCCTGCCTTTGTGCAGTCAACACTGAGTAAAACGCCATTTGCTTTTTCAAATGGCCAAAGTGATTCTTGTCTACTTAATGGAAACCATTTTCAAGGAATCTTCAATAACCTTGATTATATTTTCACAATACCTAGGAATCTAGGGTATCTTGAACAATCTCTGACATTTCTATTACCCACACCACACCTGCCGGCTCTGATGTTAGGCACAGTAATTCACATGATATAATCGAATGGTGGCTTCTCAAGAAGGAAGGAGTTGGCTTCCTGTGCTGCCGCTGCTCACGCAGCACAGCTCTGTGTAAGAAGTGGTTTGGTGCAAAGGGCTTCCTGAGATTCAAGTCCATGTCTTCATCCCATGTGTTTGTTCTGGCCATTTCTCTTCACCCAAATAAAGGATGATTTTATTTGATCCACTTGGCCTGCTCCTGCTGGGCCAGCTCCCACCTGGCACAGGCAGGAGGTTGTGAGCATTTGCTTCCCATTCCCTTGCTCACCTGGAAAGGGCTTCTTTCCATGAGATTTTTGTTCTTTTTAAAATTTCTGTGTTTATCTCTGTGATTTATATACAAAAAGAAAGACGTGACGGGTCTGGTGATTTCTCACTGCTTTGTATGGAGTAAAGAATTTTGTTTCCCTACAACCTAATGGGAGGAACTTCCACTTTCCACTCTGGATTTCTCATTGACTGTGAGTGTATCAATGTCCAGGCATGTGAATCCAGGGTCTGTGGTGTCACTTTTCTAACCCAAAGGTATAACAGGAACTTATCCACTCTGAGGATAACCAGGCATTCCCTCTTAGGTTCTGTGTAATTTGAAGGCAGAATATATCCTAATGATATCTTAATGTCTAATTGTGTATCCATATAAAGGTTTGTTTTATGATCTGCAAATGCTTTGAGTTTATTCCTTTAGTCACAGATGCTCTGCTCTGAAGAGAAGGAACTCTGACTGTCATTTAAAGATGGCAGTGATCTCTTATGGCTGTGAACTGGATAAGCAAATTGCAAATCATTCTGTGTCTCACTCTCTTGCAGTCTTATGATTGAAGTCACATGCTCTCCAATACTTCCTGTCTCATAGCTGTATCACAGACTCAGAGGCTCCGGCTCAGGCTCATCCAGTGTCATAGAGTTTAGAGATCCTAAAACTTTCAATGCCCAGTCCCAGGGCACACATGGAGCTTACAGTCTACAATCACCTCAAAAGCACTTGATGCTGAGGCAGATTGAGTGCAAACAAAACTATAACCAGCCCCACACCAAGCTCATGAGAGAAGATGATCATAGAGATTCTGCTTACAGCCCAAGAATCTCACTTTTCTCCCATCATCACCTCCATATGTAACTGAAGTCAGGTTCCTGCAAGAAAGTCATTGTTGAGACTTTTCCATTTTCAAGGGTATTCTCCATGCCAGCAGCTTGCTTGGCTCTTTTCACATTCACTTGTCCCTACTTCTCAAGAAGGAACATTTGCACCAACTTACACACACACCTACACACACACACACACACACACACAAACCTTGCTGAGTTTACCATGTACCTTGCCATTGTGTTGTCACTTTACAAGTGTCCTCACATCACCCTGTGCCTCAGAGAGGCTCATGGCATGAAGGCATCACAGAAGGGCACATCCTTCCCACTTCAATTCTGGATGATATTCTATGCACTATTTCTCAGAAGGTTCCTAAATCCATGGCAATTTGTATTATACTGAACTTGGATACAGCCCTTTTATAGTTGTAATGAGATTCACATAATTATTACTATTAAATATCATGCATGTGGTCTTTAACAAAACAGTTTACTGATTCTTGCCTTAAATATTTATCTGTCTACCTGTCTGTCTATCCATTCATACATTTATTTATTTTTGTGGTGCTGTGGATGAAACCCAGGGTCTCATGCATGATAGAAAAGCATTCTATTAAACTCTACTTCCTGCTCTAGTAATTCACTGGTTTTAGTCCTACGTAGTAACGTAGTGCAGAAGTTTATCTTTCTTTTCCAGTAGATGAAGCACTTGAGGCTGACAGACATTAAGTTTTATGTAATGGTCCCAATAGGATTGTGAAAATTTGCAAAGAAACTCTTTGAAAAGAAATTCAGTCTCCCATATCCCTCCCCAGAGAACTTTCTATCACATATGGCACAAATATTGTAAAAGATACAAAGCAATGGAAGGGGATCCCAGAATGAGCGCCCTATAATTGGGCAAGTAGAAGAATTCACAAGAAGTAAGAAAGAGGAGAGTAAGAAAGTGAGCCCTGCTCCTTCCCCTTTGCCACTCACCCGGGAGAGTAAACACCATCTTGGCTTAAGAATGATGAACCTGTGGAGAGGATGAAGGTGCTGATGCTCTCCCGCTGCTCCCTGTCAGGCAGGTAATGGAGTGAGTGTGAACTATGAGGCTAAGATCAGGACTAGTCTTAGCAGTGGAGGCTGCACAGGTCAGAGTTAGGTGACTCCAGAGTGACTACTTTGGCTTCAGTAACAGCACTGCAGTCAACCCACCCGTAGTGATGCTCTGCCTGCATGTAAGATTATAAGCATCTAGGTGCCACCAGGCAGACATTATTAATTGGCCTAACTGCAGTCTGTTACAAAAAGATAACAGGAACAATAACTGAATTTTGTAGCCCTGATTTTGACAGAGAATAATGGGAAGTTTAAGGGAGCTGCTATTTCAAATCCAGGGCTCTGTTTGTCACACAGTGTTTCCTAAGGGTGTGTTTTTAAGAGAACTGGGGAAGTTGGAGAGAATAAAAGGTGAGCTTTGGGTGCAAATCCTAACAACCCTGATGATGTCCACTCCTCATCCTCAGCAAGGCACTTGGACAGTAACTCCCTTGGTCAAACAGGTTGTGTCTTGTTTAAACCACAATATCTGTCTTGGTTCATGGAACACAGTATTTCCTAAAGGTGTAATGATATGGATTTCAATAACTTGAACAAATCATTTGTAGTTGATTCAAAACCTATACATTACCTTGATGTTGCTGAAACTGTGACTAGAAACTTACTGAATGAGGCAATAGATGAACAAAGATACATCAATAACTTCTCTGCATTTACATATGCAAGTGACATTGTAGTCACTTATATTCTTAGCAATACAAATACCACTCAAAAAAATAAAACAGAAAGAACCATGTTCCTATACAAAATACTTGTAAAAATATTTTAATGTGAGAGTATATTCTGAAATAGTGACCTACTAATATAGGGAAGAGTTTTGCAAATTTTATTTAAATTTTCTGAATAACGTTCTAAGGACTCTTTCCAAAAATGAGTGCAAACTAAAACTAAAAAGAGACTGAAAGCCCAGAGCCAATTATAAATACATTTGTATTTGATAAAATACATTTAATAAAGCAAAGGGGAATTAGCATGCAAATTATAGAGTTAAAGTCAAAATGAGAAACCCACTCAGACTCTAATGTTCCAACCACATCTGCAGAGGTATGTGCAGAAATGGATTTCCAACAGGCACATAGAGAAAAGCAGCCACTGCAGGTGGATGAGAATGATTCTAAAATGTTGGATTTTAAAAGGTTAAAAGAAAAGTTAAACTGTTGAATTATCCTCTTTTTCCTCATCTTTCTTGTTTATAGTGCTTCTTTGTGATGGTCTTTTTAGAGTAGCAGTAGGGTACCTACTGCCCTTTCAAAGGAACTGTTATTTAATTAGACTAGAAAAGCACTCAGACCTCAGTTGCTATATAGGAACATAGCTGCATTTTAATATTTGACAAAAAGGTAGGACTGATCCATGCTACTCCCCACCCAGCTTCTTTTGCCTGTTTATGACCTCCAGTGTAAACGAATAATGCAAGGACTTCAGAGAACGGTATGGATAGCCTCACCCTCAAATGACTCAGCTTAATATGGTTCAGCACAACAGCCAGAAGCTCTGCACAGTGCTCTGTGCGCTCAGAATGGTAAGGTGTGATCTATGCATTTCCTATTTATGATATTTTCAACTTGCAAGGCCTTTATTGGGCTGGAACCTGATTGTTAAATCAACACATATCCACAGAGAAAAACTGTCACTTCTACCCTATTGTAATAACCAGCTGGAGGGAGCGTGGGCTCACACAGCCCACTCAGGCAGGTGCTCCATCAGGAGTCCCTGCCACCT